AAAGGACAGTAATTACAGCGTGATAGACAAAAATACAAGAGTAGGGCAAGATGAAGAGATAGAAGGATCTGATTCAGCCAGAGTGCAAATGACTCCGATATCTCAACTGAGCACTGACGATATCCTTCCTTCTCCCAGTTGCACAGGCCCGCTGCGCTCTGCTTTCCTCTCTTGGCTTAGCCGTCTTCTTCAGGCTCGAGTCGTTGTTCAGAGGAGCTTAGCAGATGCCAGGCCAATGGTGTTTCCAATCCACATGTTGCCACGTCCACAATTAATTTCGTCTGAAACCAGTCAGCATACTCATCCAGAACAGAAAGGACATAGGTCTAGACTGAAAAGGGATAGACGAGCAACAGGCCAAAAAAGTAGCGTCCCAATTGGTAAAGATGAGAGTATTATCGGAAGTCGAGTCTATTTCAAGGTAGACAATTCGGTCTGTAATATAATTGGTGAGTCGTGAGATTACAACTCTAATTTGTTGTCAATTAGCACCTGCCCCAATTATCATTATTCAAGTCGTTTGACGTTGTTTTCCTAACTTAGTCGTATTGGTAGGAATACTTAGAGGAACGCACGTAGTCCGGAGTTCATTGTATGCATGATAATTTCCAGGATTGGACCGTAGATGTGGTACATTCCCGGACGTATCGCAGGCAACTTATTTCTTTGACACTTTGTAGTGGGGTGCTAAGAATAGCACTGCTCATTGACGATGCCGACAAACCGTTTGCGAATGTACTACGTCCATAGTCCGACTCTGGAAATTATCATGCATACAATGGACTCCGGACTAGGTGCGTTCTTTTAAGTCTTCCTACCAATATGACCAAGATGCGAAAACAAGTTCAAATTACTTTTATACAACGAAAGGAGACTGCGACCACACAAAAGGCCACACCATCTTAGTCTTCATACCTATCATTATTCAACTTATATCAAAAATAGCCACATTTTAGTACAGAGGAGGCAAGATTTTTTTTAAAGAAGTTAATTGTATAGTGTAGTGTAGTGTGGGGTGGTATGATGCAATGTATGTAATGTTATGTAGTGTTTTATAGAGTAGACTAGCATAGTTAAAAGCTGTGAAATTTTTCATACTTAAATTTTTAATGAAAATGCGTGATGATGTAAAATTCTGGAATGCTAAATTGCTAAATTTGTGTCCTCTCTTGGTCTCTACCACTCAGGTGCTTCCTGCTTTCATAAAACCGAATCGGCTGCCCAGTTTATCGCCGCTACGTTACACACCAACAGACTTCATCCAACAAACCATAATAGTTTCCTCAACTCTGAGGCCTCTCATAGCCATATAAATTCCCGCAACCGGCCTGTCAGACTTGCACCACCCATAGACATTCTTGCTGTTCAGTCTGTCGACCACGAAGTGTCTACACTTCCATTCTCTTTCGCAGCAGCAGCTAGCACGTCGTCTACCATGGCCGTCACCACTATGAATCCTATAACAGGAGGGAAAATACTTCCGCCTGCGGGCCGAGCTTCCGAGGATGGTGGGGCCCAAAGCGAAACTTGGTTCCAGGGGCAGTGGCGTCGTGGTATGAAATTACCAGTTTCTCCTCACCTCGTATACACTTTGCTTGGCCTCATCTGTCTTTTCATGTTGGCTCTCCTCGTTGGAGTGCTCTACACTGTGGCTCAACAACACTTCGGCTCGCCTGGAAGTCATTCCCAGCACAACCAGCAAAGTCGTTCCACTCTAGGCCGGTATCCTCTGCACACAGTCAGCACCAATGTTTTCCATAGAAGGCCATTCATACAAAAAGTAAGCCTTCACGTAGTCTTATTTTCTTCTAGACTATCTTCAAGGCAATCGTTGCATTTCAATCCTAAATAGGATTATTCTGCCAGCTTTAAAAAAAGATAGGCGAATTACTGAGAAAATAGAACGTCAGGACCATGTATAAAGATGTACTAGCACCTTCTGTTATGCCTTTTTTGAGAGAATCTTCAGATGCCCTCTGAAGATCAGGTTGTTATAAGATTTTCCTATTTACGTGGTAGTGTTTATGTGGGGGAGACTTGTCGGAACATGCATAAGAAGCTATCAGAACATAAAGCCGCCTGTAAAGGTTGCTGAAATGAGAAATATGAGGTGGCCGAACATGTGGTCACTACAGGACACCGGATAGAGTGGTCTAAATATCAACGTTTTGCCAGATATGAGGACT